TCCACCATCCCCCTCCCGCCTTTCCCGTTCTCAGGGGGGTTCTGTAAGGTCGGGTGGCGGTGAACGGCTGTTCATGGTTATACGGTCCCGTGACCAGCTGTTCAGCGCACACTAAACTCCGGCCACCGGTCGAGGTGCCGACACTGCTTCTTCTTCTTCTTCTTCTTCTTCTTCTGTTTCTGGGGACAATTCTCCAATCTTTTCATGGGGAGCAGCACATACTCATTGTACTGGGAAACAGGCCCAGCATCCCACATAGAAATATACAGAACAATCTGAGATACCAGGGCCATTACCCGGCTTCGGCTGAGAATAACAAGTCTTAGTCTCTAAGAATATTCATGAGGGAACTACGGAACCATTCCGAAAATAAATCCACAGGAATCATACTGAATACCAAGAGACCCAAGGGTTACTTTTCCAATCTTCAACTGTCCTAGAGTCTCAAGCTACCACCTTTCTGGTCTTTCACTCGGATACTCGGTCCCTTTCCCACTCTCTCTCTCTTGGAGTCTCTCCCCCCCAACCTCTCATACAACCAATCTCCTCCTCTCCGGCTCGGCGGCTCTGACAGCGTCACAGACTGGCAGTGGAGGAATCCCTTTTATGCCCCATTTCCCTCCTAGTACCCACTCTGTCACTCTCTCACACGCTCTCACTTTCCCACTTTCACGTTTCCTCTCTCCTGGTTGCTGGGACTGGCACGGTGACTCTCTCACTCTCCCACTCTCCGTGACTCCGGTGCTCACTTGAGCTCACCATCACCCCTCTCCAACAGTCCAACTCTCCCACTGTCGCACTCTCCCTCTCTCCCAGTCTCTCTCCAAATCCCCTGAGGCTCCCCTCCCTCACTCTCACTCCCTCACTCTTCTTTGAGATCTCCAATCTCTCACGATCCTTCTGCCTTTTTACCTGTCTAATTATGACTGTATCCCATCCTTACATTTGCTAATTCTCAACTGCTCACCCACCCACTCTCTCAATCTCCTACTCTTTCAGTCTCCCATGCTATTGCCTTCTCACTCTCCCATTTTCTCATTCCTTCAGTCTCTCTTACTTCCTGGAGGTCTCACTTCCTCACTCTCCCACTCTCCCGCTCCCCCCCATGCTTCTATGTGGCTTCTTATTCACTCACTCCCCATCTCTTCCGATCCCTCTCACACCCAGTCTCCCACTACTTTTCCACTCCCCTTAAACTGCCAGTACACAGCCCCAGCCTTAGAGAAAGCCAACTTGTCCCCCCCACGCCGTTGCCGCGTTTCCAGCCTCCAATAGTCATTGTGAGGGCCCCGCGGCCCATGTATGGCCATGTATGTATCCCCCGCGATCATGACCGCGGGGTCAAACTCGGCGTGCAGTCGGGATCCCGACGACAGGCCAATCAAAAGGAAAAAAAAACATTGGGTTTGTTCAACCCGTTTGACACTGTGTGTGAGTGTGTGTGGGGTGGGGGGTGGGGGAGGGGGGAGGACCCCTCCCCAACCAATCAGTCAATAAAAAAATCAATCAATCAAGATTTTTTTATTTTTTTTTGAAAATTGGTTTTCACCCACCAAGGTGTTGCATTCCTCCCCCCCCCCCCCCCCCCCCCCCCCCTCTCTCTCTCTCTCTCTCTCTCTCTCTCTCTCCCCCCCCCCCCCCCCCCCCCCCCAAACTCGATTTTTGTTCACTTTTCTTTTCTCTAAAGGGTAGGGTCGGGGACCCCAATCCGCAACCCCCAACCCCAACCTCCCTCCCCCCCTCCCCTCTGGCCACAACCCGGCTGTGGTCAGGTTGCGGTCATGACTGCAAGGCACCGCGACCGCAGGGTGGGGGGGATTCACAGAATCTGATGGCCGTGTACTGCTGGTTGAAGACGTATTCTCTCACTGGCCTACTCTCCTACTACATCACCCACTGACACCCAGTGATTTTGCATTTCTTTCACTCCCAATCTTCTAATCTCTCTCTTTTCCACTCTTGAACTCTTTCTGCCCCACTCCCTCTCATCCCCAATCTCCCACTCTCCGGTTCTCTGTTTCTGTCAGTGACACAGTCCTGCTTTAACCTGTGTTCTACTTGGCCCAGCCCTTCCTCTCGATCTGATTTACCGTTCAGTTGAATTTGAGATGATCGCTTTTTACTTGGATGAATGAAATTGACATTCACGTTTTTGGGTCTAGACTCTAGAGTATGCATGGAGGGGAAATAGCATCTGACGGAACTTACTCCTCTCTTCCTTCTGGGAAGGGGGGGGGGGAGATAGGAAAAGGGAGGGGAAAAAAGACTCCTAAAGACAGTGCATTCGAAGTGTAAGAGACAGGCATACGGAGGGACAAAGAGAGCGAATTGACTTGAAGTTCACCGGATGGCGGACGACATGTGAGACCCAATTTCATTTCATTTCTTTCTCTATTTATTTAGCTATTAAGACAAGCGCTCCAATCTACTGCCATTATTTCAATTTGTTTGGCCTTTTCTTAACTGCCATTTCGTCAAAATGGACTTTTTTTTTTTTTTTTCTTTTTCTTTCTTTTTTTTTTCTTTTTCTTTTTAACCTAGGCTACCAGCCGGGCCGCCCGGGTCCCGGGTGGCCAGCCCGTGCAAGGATCAGGTAAGGTCCCAACAAAAAAAAAAAAAAAAAAAAAATCGAAAAATTCTGAAAAAAAACTGTGTTATGCAGAAAAATAAACTGAACAACGTTTGCCTCAGGGTCGCATCGAAATTCTTCACCACATTTAAAATAAAAAAATACAATTCAAAAATATTTTATTTATTTATTTACTTTTTTAATTATTTTGGCCCGGCCGGGCAAGTGACCCCGGGCCACTCTGGTAGCCTAGTTTTTAACGGAATTGAAACTGAGTAATTTGACCGAAAACAGGTCCAATTTTTTGGCTCCCGAGGGTCCGGCATTCTTCAAACGCCTAACCCCCGCGATCTATCTGGTCTCGAGCTACATACATCTAGGATTCTAGGGGGTAGGGGGTCGGGTGTTTCAAGAACGGGGGACCCTCAGGAGCCAAAAATTTGGACCTGTTTTCAGCCAAATTTCTCGGTTTTAATTTCATTGGATTTCAAAAAATAAAAAATGTCCATCTTGACGAAATGGCAGTTTCTTGACTTCCGAACCTGGTCCACCAGTCCCTTTCCCTGCTTGAGAATCAATTCTGCGCGGGCGCGCAGGGTTGCTTCGAAGCCAAGCGGGATCCGGCTCAGCCTGCCGTTGATAAATTTTTCATTGGAGGCCCGTTTTCCATTTTGGGCCTTTGCCCGCGGCCAATATATGGGAAATATGTGGGAAAGGCACTGGTGGTTTAAAGCAGGCAATCCAAGTAACACAAGCTGCATTCCGAGTCATAATTGTCCTGCTGCAGGATCCCTCTCCAGGAAAAGGGGTCATGTGCTGGGGCATTGTTCCCAGTTACGACAACGTCAGCCGTCTTGGCTTACTAGGAACATGATTTTAAAATGGGGGCAAGCAAAAGTATGGTGAGCTTCGCAGAGTCTCCGCAGCGAACTTGAAGAACTCTGAGCTCTATCTGGTCTCAAGCTCAGTCCACATATGATTCTGAACAGACTGTTTTGGTGTGTGTTGCTTATTGTTACAGTACTGCACAGACAGGGGCATAAAGCATAAAGGAGAAGTGAAGGAGATGAGGAGACGGTCTGCCAGATTTGGCGTAAAGGGGGCAGGCCCTTTCTTTCTGAAGTAGCACGGCGTGATAGCAACCATTTCCATTTGCTTGAGCCTTGAGGCCTGTGCACCATGTGTGCGAGAAGTTCGGATGACATGGGAGTCTCAGAGTAGTTGGGCTGGGGTAACCGAACGTCATGGCTTGGTTTTGTTCGTTGGCATTGTTGCCCTATAGACTGCTCTCAGTGCATTGTGCAAAGAACCAGATACATGCAACTTGGTCCCGAAGTTGGTGGTAACTCTATGGTACTATCTATCCTGGGACTCTGCGAGAACCTTACCCATATTAGAGATTTTGGGCATAATTGCCTAAAAAATTACCCCTCTTACTACCTCTAAGCCTCTTTCCGTTGAGGCGGATTGAATTCCCCCTGCGCTCCAAGCTTTGCCAAAGCGTGGTGGTGTCACTCTTTTTTTTGGGCTGGCGCGATGCGGGCGCGCCATCCATTTGGGTTCGTTAGCTCTAAGCATCCTTTGAACCTGGGATGTTTCGTTTCTGATTCTCGAAATTGCCTGTGAAAGGCAGACTCCGTCGTTTAGAAGTTAAAACGCGGTGTAGAACTTCGTGTCCCAACCTGTCTGGTCGTGGGCCATTGTGTAAAGGGAAAACTCGGGAGCAGTCAAGGTTTCAGTTTTAAATGTGTTTCAGTCACAGTTTCGCAAACTTTGGTGACTGTAGTGAATATGGTGAAGGCATAGTCTTACCCCATCAGTAATGGTGGAAGGTCGAGGTTCCAAGGGTTCAGTTGTTCGCCGATGAAAGTGCTCCAAAGAGAGGAAAATCGTGAATGTATCCATCTCAGCATTAGGGTTGGGCGGGGATGCGTTGTATTCGAGGGATGCCTGAAATGGATTTAGAACTGAGAACGTGAGTGCGCCGTAGTTACCCCTTGTTTAAATTTGGTGTTTTGTGAAACAGTAAATTGGGGCAGGGAGCACTGAGAGGGGGGCCCCAGGGCGAGAGAGGCAGAAGGGTGACAGAGCAGATCAAATGTCAATCGCTGTGCTTGGGTCGATGATGAGGTTGTTATAGTCTGATGATTGAGGTGCTGCCCGTGGTGGTCTCTCAGTTGTCTTTGTCCACATAATAATCACATTTTATTTGCAGATTGCGGAGACTGGTGTAAGAGGTAGATGGGAGGGTCAGACAGATCCCGACCACACTGCAGCGTCTGACATGTCTGAGGTGTCAGGGGGTGGATAGGAGGCAGAGAGAGAGAGAGAGAGAGTCTGCTATATCCTACTTGAGCAGAGAGTGAGGGTTCGTGCGAGCCTCCCAGACAGTACTAGTGTTGTCTGCTCCTATCAGCACCCCAAGTTCTCTATAGGGTTGTTTTTCACGAAAAAAAAAAAGAAACAAAAAAAGGGTTGGTGCAAGCATTGAGAATCAGAGGCTAAGCATCAAGCACCTGAGGGTTGGGATGTCTGTGGATTCTGCAGCTGGAATGGCGGATCCCAACCCTTCTGGTGACCTTGGACGGCGTACAGAACTTAAACTGGTGAGTAGGTTTCACATTCGTCGGAACGACATCGTGAGTCCGTGGTTGTGCTATGATGATGACAGTTTCCTAAACATTGATGTCCATCCGCATAAGCCGTGGATTATCTTCGTTGCTCAAAAAAGATCAATTCAAGTGTGGGACTATAGGTCGGGGACTCTGGTCACTTCTTGGGACATAGACGAGAGACTGGGCTTGTGGGTAGCCGTAAAATTTGTGGCACGTTCAGAAACGCTCTTCATTGCTCTTAGGAATGACAAGAACTCTGTCATGATGCGTAAAGTGGATGACAACTTTTCCTGGGACCTAATTAGGCATATCGGGCAGGCCCATAAAAGTCCTGTGCGGGATGTGGCCCCTCATCCCAGCTTAAGCTACCTGATGACTTTTTCTGATATCCGGATTAAGCTTTGGAACTGGAGTGACAGCTGGGCTTCTATGTCCTATAAAGTGATGTCGGTGACCGCTGTGGCATTCCATCCATCGGAAACGACGGAAAGAGGCATGTTTGCGAGCGCCTCAAGGGATGAGAAAATCCGATTATGGAAAATAGACAGCGGCCGGTCTCCTATGCATACATTCGAAGCACTTCCAGGTCATGAAATCGGGGCGCTTCAATTTTGCAGTGATCCAGGGAGGTCTCTTCTGATCGGAGGTACTTGTTCTGGGCGAGTATGCATCTGGAATTACAAAGAGCGGGCTCGAGTGGCTGTAAGCAACGAACTGGGAGCGAATGTCTGTTCTGTCTTCTTCCATCCGCGGTTGCCCTATATCTTTGCTGCCACCACAGCAGGAGCGGTAGCCGCTTGGAAGGACTCGGAGGTGAATTATTCGGCACCTAGTCTTGAGCATGCAATGCTATTTACGAGTGGATTGACAGAGCTTGGTAGCATGGCCCCTTGCGGAACATCCGACAAGCTGGTTGTTGGAGGCAAGGCAGAGTTTGTCGTATTCAATTTGGAGGAGGAAGTAATTGCTGATGGCTTTTCGCCAGCAACGACTTCTCGGGCAAGCACTCCAAGAAATGCACCGGAAGCTTCATCGGTTACGGGGCAGCCAACACATACAAATCATGTCTCCTCCCCATCACTGATGGACAGTAATGAAATACCGCACTGGGTAATGACGCCTGCCTCGGCTGTCATTCAGCAAGTAACTGCAGACCAGCTGCTGGACATTGCGCAGAAGAAAGAAGAAGTTGCGGAAACGTTGCTCAAGGACAGTATACAGCTGCGGACATCTGCGATGACAGCACAGGCCGACGTGATCGACGCACTGCAAAGTCAGGTGAGAGCGATGAGGGAGGAGCTTGAACGGTCCCGGGAATGTTCCCGGATGAGGGAGGAGCTACTAGAATGTTCCCAGAGTTCTGCAAGACAGAAACCGGACCATTCAGCTGTTGGTGAAGTCCAGGTATGTTCCTTGAGGAAGCTTGAGATGGAGAAGCTCAACGCGGGCGGCCAGGATGAGCTATCCACGACGGACAATCTGAGAGCAGTGGTCGACAAGCTGCGAGCTCTTGATCATCCACATTTGGTGAGATTGCTGGGCGTCTGCTACGAGGAGAACTCCCTGGTGTATGAGAAAATGGCGAACGGAAGCGTGGACTGCATGTTGAGCGCACAACAGTCGTTGCCATGGTACGAGCGTTTGCGGGTTATGAACGAGGTCGCAGAAGCCTTGTCTTTCCTTCACACAAATGGCATCGTCCACTGCGGCATCAAGCCCTCCAACATCTCTTTGAATGGCGACTTTGTCGCCAAGCTCGGCGCAGTCGACCGTGCATTGGCAGTCCAGTATGTCGCAGAGCTCAGCGGAGCCGTCCGGCAAGCGAAAACGACCGTTGTGGTCGCAAAGGACGACATGAGCAACTTCTTGAACTTCTTGGAAATGGATGGCGACTACCTTGCCCCGGAATGCGAAAAGGCTGGCGCTTTTACCATGAAGACGGACATCTACGCCTTTGGCATCACTTTGCTGGAGATGCTGACAGGGACCATAGGGGGTGCAAAAGAAAAAATTGGCGATACCTTGGATGACCCTGCCGCTTTTCCGAAAACACTAGACGAAAAAGCGGGTGCTTGGGACGCTTCCCTCGCCTGGAAAATTGCAAAAATAGGGATGAAGTGTGCGAGTCACGAGAAAGTTAATAGACCACTGTTGATAGAAGGTCTGGACAACATCCGGCCTGGACTTCAGGAGATCACTTCTCAAGCAATACACCTCGCCCATCAGTAAGTAAGGGATGCAGTCTGAGACCGAAGAGCACTGTACAGCAGATTATACATGCCCACAATGCGGGCATCCATACGATAATGTCATGATGGTGCTCCCAAGAAGATTGTGCTCTGAATCGGGCATGGAGCTTGTGACGGCAGTGGGGAGCTTGTGGTGTAAGTGAGGGTACTGTGATACCGATATGATATAGAGCGTTGTGCCGCGGCTTACACACCATCAATGCCACATGGTGCTGCCAAGAAGAAGCTCGTACTGTGGTGAATGTGGGATCCTTGTGGCGGAAGCTGTTCTGCCTATGGGCCCAGTATGGGACAGTGGGGCTATACAACATCAATTGTATGGGATGCTCCCAAGAATCTGATGAAGCTTGTTTTCTAAGCTGCCCATGGGCCCATTATGGGGTGCTTCTCCCCTCTGGTGTAAGGGATACTGAATGAAGAAGAGCGCTGTGCTGCGGGACCGGTGGACCGGCGTGGGTTATACTGTTCTACAACATCAGGACCATGTAGTGGTGCCAAGAAGAAGGCTAAGCCTTTTGTTTTCTGAATTGGCCATGAGGCTTGTCCTAGA